TTGCGGTTTTACAACCAGCCGGCCGCAGTAAAACAAACTTGCTGTGAGAAGTTTCCCGGCGCTCAGGAAGGACGAGCACGTCTCGCTGCCCAGCCGGGGAACACGCGGGCTTTGTTCCGCGGGGAGGGAAGCCACGGGAACTGCCACCGTCCCCCCGCTGTCCCCGGCCGGGCTGGCCTCGCCACGCCGGGCGGCCGGCCGGGACACTGGGTGGAGGACTGGCGGATCACTCGGCCGGGCAGGCAAGTGTCCTTTTACGGGGCGGCCCGAGGTGAGCGCCCTTTGCCTGCGGAGAGAAGCGGGAGCGCCTGTGCCAAGAGCCCAACGGAAGAGACAGACACGACTTTTCTGGGTGTTTGCCTGGCTTGCCAGGGAGGAAAAGTGTCGCCTCTTTCCCCGCTCGGCCTCCTCCGCCCATCGCTTCTCCCCGGGAGCTCCGGAGGGCGCCGGGAGGGGCCCGGCGCTGCACAGCCCCGGGCACACAGGAACGGTCCGCGGGGCCAGCGCAGCCCCCCCGGAGCGGCAGCCCGAGGGCTTCAGGGTGACGATCTTGTGGTCCCCCCATCTTGGGGCGAGGGCTCTTACGGTAGTACTTCTCGTAAGTGAAATCTGAGTTTTTGTGAGGTGCAGTCCCCATGCATTTTTAACCATAGTGATTACTAAATTAATAGCAGGCCCTAAGACAGATGTCAAAACGTCTTGAAAATGTTTATCTGTGAATAATTGAGAAGGTGGTAAGACGCATTATCTGATTGTATAATGAAATATGTATGAGGAACAGCTGTTTGCAATAGTCACCTCCCGTTGTTTCATTAGCCTAGAGCCTCCTCTTTAAAGAAGCGCTTCCCTGAAGTTGGCCATTCATCATCGGTCGCTTCCACCGGCGCCGGCGGCCGAGCCGTGCCCACCGGAGCCACAGCAGGGAAGTGGTAACCCGGTGTTTTCTCTAGGCCAGTCCACGGGCTCTCCCCGTGGTATTTCTCACTAGTGGTTTGCTCCGAGGGCGGGAGGGAAGAGGCGCGGATGGGGTCCGAAGATGTCTTGCTGAGCAATCTTAACCTGAAGAGGATGCCCTGAGAGGAAAGATCCTAGATGCTCATCTAGGAAGTACAGCAAACAGCCATTTATTATGATTTCATGCCGAGCAGCGACAACCTCCTCAACTGCTTAGCGTTGACATAAACTTCCAGACGTCGAGCATATGCTGTTGCACAGCATTGTTTATCTGTGGTACCAGATGTTGCTTTGCATCGTATTGTCTGGAGACAATGTTTAGTTCAGGTTAAAATATCTTTACTTAAACTGCTCTGTTGGCCATTGTGTGAGCATTAGTGAAGTGTCATGGAGAGGTAATGGGAAGTCCGGAGAGGTTAGCTCTCCGAGCGTGGCCAGGAGGTCCTTGGTTCATGGTGGGGTTACAGCCACCACTGTCATCTTTTGTTTTCCCTCCTTAGAGAACCCTTGTCCTTCCTCTAAAAGGATGTGCCCCGCTCTCTTTCCCTTCGGAGTTTTCTCCACCGTTTCATGAAACGGCCCGATGTTTGTTTTTCTAGTTCCCCTAAATCGCCCGAAAGAGGAAAGGAAAGCACGTTTCTGCGTCACCGCCACCCGAGGCCGGGCCGGTCCAGGCGGAGCGGGGCGGCCCCACGACTCTGCCCGGGGATGCTGGCGCCGGGGGGAAATCGGTCCCGGCCGCAGAGTTCACGCTCCAGCCAGTGCGGCGGCTGCCTCCCCCCAAAATACCCGGCCGAGCCTCCCCCCAGGCCGGGTGGGCGGAGGGGGCCGCTGGGCCGCCCCCCGGCAGGGCCCGCCGTGCGGTGGCAGCCCCCTCCTGTCGCCCGGGAGGGAAGTGGCCCGCCTGGAGCCTTTTCTTCCCTTTAACCCCGCAGTCTGGGCCGGCTGCGGCAGCTGACCTGTAGAAAGACTTTTGCTCCGGGAGAGAGGGGGGAAAAAAAGCTATAGACTTTAATCGGATTTCTCCCCAAACACTTCTGGTATGTTGTTGTTATGCATCTATATGGAGATCATTATTTATAAATGAGCAAGTACGATCAGTCGCAAAGACTTTAAGAGCCCGGATTTGTGTCATTAAGTTGAGGGCGGGGTAGGGTGATTTAGCGGGGCATGGAGGTGCTGGCCGGGAGGCGAGCGGGACCTCACCTGCCGTCCCGCTTTCCCTTTAGCCACCCTGTCAGCTCTGGCGAGATTCCCCCTTTGGAGACCCTGGAGGCCCGGTCTCAGCCCCCATGCCCAGGGGGTCTCCGCCGTCCCGCTCGGACGGCCCCGGCGGCGGGCAGCCCTGGGCTGCGGGTCGTGTGGCCGCCAGCTCCATCCTCACCCCCTGCAGTCCTGCTTAACACAATAGAGGCATATTTCCCCGTAAACCAGGTGCCCTGCTAAGACTGGAGAAGACGTGAGAACATTTCCAGCAGCAGCAGGTTTTATAGGTCTCTATGACTCCTGCCTCCTCTGCTCCCCGACATTGTGAAGCCACTTCAGGAAATGGTTAACATCTCTCTAAAATCTCGAATTAAACAAAAAGCCACATTGTGCATTTCAGCTTTGAAAGCAGAGGTTTTGCAACGCAATGATCGTATAATGTAGATGTATTTGTGTTACTTTCAACATTTTTGCCTGTGCATAATCCCTTATGCCTTTTATTATAATCCTACACGTTACAGTTCATCTGTAAAGATCCTGCTTCAGAGGGACCTGTTGCACACAGTGATGGTAATTAGTAACCTTGGTAACAGTTTTAAATAAAGATTATAACAATGATGTCAACTGTTTTTATTCACCATATTGTAAATGGGGTCTCAATATTACTGTGTCTGTAAAGGACAGAGTTTAAGGAACAGTTACGTGGTTCCACTTTACTTATTATGATGAGAGTTATCACTTTTTACCTTGGCCTTAAGTAAACATGATCATGGCTCCAAACAGTATGAAGGTTTTCAAACAGCTGAGGACTCTGCAAACTTTAGTTTTCTGAATGAGGTAGATATCATAATGAACTAGAGTTATCAGGATCCAAGTACCCTCACAAAGAACATTTTAGTCTTCCAGAGGAAATACCTCAGAATAAGTACTGCTTACAAACCCTAATGAGTAATGCTAACAGTGACTAAGGCTACCATTAGCCTTCTGTACAAGCTCTCCCCTCTATTAAGGTTTACAGTAAATGCTCACAAGCTGAAAGCAAAATTAAATATAATTGCTTTTATTTACCTATTGCTTTTATAGAATTAAAATATTTTTAGTTACATTTATCAAACAGCATCCACTTTGAGTATTACCTGCCATATCTGTTAATCCATTTTTCTGTATTAACTACACCACCATTAGCTATTAAAATATGTATATATACACATATACATTACATATATTTCTTTGTCAAGATATGTTTCAATTCTCATTAACAAAAAATATTCTTGTGGAAGATTCTCTGAAGCATGTTTTTCATGCACACATTAATAATCACAGTTGTCAAGAATTAGATATGCACAGATTGCAAACGAAAAGAAAATATTAGATAAAAAAATGAAATATATAGTAGAATTGAGTATAACTATTTTTCCTCCTTGAAATAAAAAATTTACAGAGTGAAAAACTGAGCTATTAAGCTTACTTAAAAGATGGCTTTGTTGGTTTAATTATACTGTAGTTATTTTATAAATATGTTTCAAAGGAAGCTTGCCATATTGAATGTCAATGAAGCCTGTAAAGAAAAGACTTACAAAAGCTAATGCATACCAAATACCAAATTTTAGTCATTAGCATTCTTATTTATTACAAACTAAAGGAACCTATTAACAGACAAGAATTTCTGTTTAGCTAGCGTTACAATGTTTAGCCATTAAAATAAAAAAGGACCAAAAATTACAATCTTCTCCCTCCACCCTTTTGAACTGTGCGTTCTTTTTACTCAGAAAGACAAATCTATCAAAACCCCCTGATAGCAGAAACTATGATTCTTCATTATTACCGTCTGTACCAAAGCAAAACCTGTACCGCTGTATTCAGGCAAAATTTCTACTTTTTCCAAAGGACAAGGTCTGTCTGATTAGGCGCTTCAGATATTTTGCACATACCTTAACAGCTGCATTGGAGGGACTTCAGGTTATGAGGAGGCATAGATTGGCTCTGGGCTCATGCAGGCCTACAGGGCCTGGTCCAACATCAGTAGGCACTTCTGTATCACATTCAGTAGTTTGGATCAAGTGTGGGGTGTGGATAGCAGCTTTCATGCTTAGGATGGAGGAAGGAAGGGCTAAACCATTCACAAGGCTGCTAACCAGAAGCTTCTTTTCATTGCTTGTCGTAAAATCAGCATATTTATTCATGTGGTGCCTATTTGTTCAAGAATTTCTTTAAAACCTCTTAGCCAAGCACTTCTATTTTTCAAACACCCTTTAAGAAATTGTATTTTTGCCTGTTTTGAAGATGAGTGTATGCAAATATACTACATCTCAGAACTTCTAAAGAAATGGTAAGCATATTATTATGTAACATTACATTTCACACATAAACAGTAAATAAGCTTTCTCTTGCTTTTCACCAAACTGAATATTTTTATGTAAAAACAGAAGCTTTTGGGGACTCTGATATTCTTGATGAGGTAACAAACTTTTAGATCTTTTCTCCTTTGTTAAATCTGACACAGTCCTTGCCTTCTCAGCTTGAGAGCATCGCTCCTAGAGACTCTGTTATGTCTATTCAAATTGACAGAGAAATTCAAAACAAGACCAAAGCAGCAGCACAACATCTACAGAGCTTCTGGATGACAGATGCTGTCAAATGCCTGTTTTGCCTCAAAGATTACCTTCGTTTTCAAAGAATCAGGGGGAATGGGGCGGGGAGCGGTTCACTAAAGTTCAACCCATCTGTTTAATCTTTGTTTTCCGATTTTCATTGTTCATTTCTAAAACAGGCTTTACATTTAATTTAATAAAGGGTTTGGCTTGACTAATAAGAATCACTTTTGATTTTGATTTTGCAAGAATAGAGTGAAGACTTGTACAGAGAAAATTCGCTGTATAAACATCCTGCCCAAGAAAGGAAGGTTCGTCCTTACTCCATCTACAGGATCTGTAAGTACAAGAAATTTGTTCTCTTCAAAGATTTAAACTCTCAGACTTTAGGATGCCCTTGTAGGGCTGGTTGTTTATAGCTTTTACATGAGCATACAGTGAGAAGTTTGACTGAAATAGTTCTACTATCAGCGTATCTCAGCATGTATGAAATATTTTGAATAAAGTAGTTCCTGTATGACCCCATTTATGTGATCCATGTTGCTGCTTTTCACTAATGAAAACAAAACTGATGTGAAATTTGCATGAGTGTGATGTCTAGGGATAACAGTACCATGAAATCAAAATGATTTGAGCTGTCTCTGATTGTGCTAAGATAAATTAGAATTTAGGAGGAAGAATCTCGTGGAAAATTAAATATAAAAGCAGACAGAGATTCTGAAATTTTAAGAACTCCTACTTTTCTTTGGATATATTTTCTGAATCAAAGATCTTCAGTTTATTATCAATGAAGAGCAGTGGCCCAAGAGGCTGCAGACAGCCCAGATTAAAATAAAACTGAAGGAATCTCCATATTGTCTCTCAAGTATTATAACTTTCACAAGGAGAGCTTTTTCCAGGTCAGCGTGTCCATAACCCAAAATGGAGCTGATCCATAGATCTACAAATCAGATGCTGCTGGAAAGATAGATGTCTTGCAGGTCTCTCATTTAAGCTTAGTTGACATGTTAGATAGCTAGCACTAGAAGTTTTTCAGCACAGAAAACTTTCATTTGCAACATTTCTACCTACCAAACCCATATTGATTTAAGTCCTGTTGCTAGAGTGGCAAATGTACTTAAAGGAGAAATGTTAATAATGCAATAGTTCCAACCATGAAGTTCAGACAACAAAAAAGAGCAGCCCTATGGAAGAAAAAGAAAGCGGTGTGATGAATCACTTCTTTGTTCATACTGTCCCTTTAATACAAAGCAGAATAGAAATGCTTGAATAAAAATGCTTAAATTGTTGCATTTTCAGCAATATTTTCCCTTTCTCACTTTAAAACATCCATAGTCCTTTGTAGCCATATACAGCATGCAACAGAACAATTTGGAAAAGATTAATCTATCAAGTTTAACAACTTTCTGGTGTAACTTCAGAGAGATTTATTGCTTATTCATGTGGAAGTGAGTACACCCAACTTGTTTTGCCTGGTTTTCCTACTTTTTCTGGTTTGCAAGGCTGTTCTGGTAGCTGCAAATGGCTTCTCAAGTGACATTTGCTGACATTCAGTGGTGTATATTTATCAGTATTCTTCACCTCACTTCTATATGTGTAATCTATTTTATTTTGTTCTTCATAGCAACCTTCTTTTCACTGTCCATACCCTGAAAATGATAAATGGCACAGTGGCATATTTCTCTAGGTGCAATAAAATGTCACTGTGAAAAATCTTTAATGGACTAAGTGTAGCTTTTCAGGTTATAACTTGTCAAGTTACGGAGAAATTCTAGAGTTTCTGCCTAATCCACCATTCTTTGGAACCATACCACTGCGGGCAGAGACTAATTATAAGTTACACCAGTCAGAGCAGGATAAAAATAAATGAAGTAGAAACTTTTTGATAAAGGCTCATTTTATACTTGCTTTCTGTACTTGCACTGTGTTACCTGATGTCCTCTCTTCAGGCTAATGCTGAATGTGCCTACTGCTTATGTATGAATATGGATGTATGCTGAAACCTATGTTATTTTAAAGAATTTGCTAATCACTGCAGCACTGAATACATTCATGCTGCTCCTACATCTGGGGTGTCAAAAGAAACCCTCCATGCTGGCCAATATTATATGACACATTAAGAAAGAACACTAAATGGAAATGAATGGGTGAGAGGAAATGGTGTTACTACCTTCTTTTAGGTCAAGTACCAAAATAGAGCAAGAATGACAGACTGAGACTTTCAAGAGGGCTCAGAAATACGACATACCTGTCCTGGATTCAGGGGTCTAGGAGACTATCCTGCTTTTGGATTTCTGTTCCTTTTTTAGCAGTTCCTGATTAACTTTTTGAACTTAATGCTCAAGTCCACAATATATAAATGTAGGAGAAAACAGTTTTTGAGAACATTCACCCCAAACATGACTGCAGACAGTACTTTGGAGTCACTTTTCTTTAGTCTTCCCTGCCTTTACAATGGATATTTAGAAGAAACATCTTAGTTCCTTGTAGCAGGAGAGCTTTAAAGAGAAACCTGCTTCCCTGTTCTATGATCCTAAAGCATCCTCCTCAGATTTCCTTTCATTTCAGACCTAGAAAGCACAAAAGGAATGAAATGCTAGAACAAACAAGAACATGTGTTTTGCAGCAAATGGTGAATGGTGCATTTTATCTGACAAAGACTACATTTTTTGACATTGAGCAATGACAGGACCACTTTAGTTCATGCCATGAAGTAAGAAGTAGCAAAATTATTTTTATGTTATTTTTTTCTGCTACTTGCATTTAAGTGGTATTTTCTTTATCACTGAAGACAAGAGGTTGTAAATCTTGAAGCAGCATAAAATACTTACTTGGCTTCCTATCAAGAGCGAGTGTGCAAGTGCTTTAGGGTAGAATTTACTTTCCTCTTCTCCCATTTTCTATACCAACTTCCACCCTATTACAAACATGCTATTACAAGGCCCGTGCACTCCTATAACCATACCAGTTCCTCAGGGCCCACATTTCACTCTTGGGATTTAAGTGTTCACATACTCTGTGATGACTTCCTGCAAGGATGTAACTTTAAATCCTTATGCCTACAAAATATGCCCAGTGGGGAAAAATCTATTTTCTGAATAACTTTAAAATCATGTCAGTCTCAGGAAGTGTCGTGAGTTCATCAGCTTTACTAATGAACATTTTCAATGCTTATTTATTGTGTAGGTATAGATCACCCAGTATTTTGGTTAGAGCAGAGCTCAGATCTCACTTTGTTTCCAAGGCAAAGTTTAAGGGAAAAGAAACCTCTTTTTCTATAATAGCTGATACCAATAGTTGGAGGAAGTCTTTTGTATACAGAAGAGGACTTGTGTCTGCAAGCTTTTTTCTCCCTGGTTAAAATGGGTGGTCTAAGAGAAAATACTGCCTCTCCCAGCAGGTTTTTTTCTTATCCTTAGACCATACTATTACAACATTTGCAGTATTACCATGCTTTGTCCTGTAGGTGTGAGCAAAATAAACTTATAATGTTTTTGAAATGAAGCCTTGTTTTTGAAATGAAGCCTTATCATGTCTTTAAGGGCTTTTCACTGCTATTTTTCTTCAGCTGACACTCCCCTGGAAGTCATTGAAAGCTTTGTGCTTGTATCTAGAAATTCTTAAATTTATAGGCTTTGCCCTAACGTTGTTCCTAGAGGACAACCAAAGACTTTTCTCCAGTTCACTCTGCAGCCCTCAGAAGTTTACCCTGAGTTCGGTTTACTGCATTTACTACCTGTCATAGTGAAAGCCAGATGAGTTTTCTTGCAGTAGTTGCCAGGCTGGCACCTATTTTTTAGCATGGCATCACAAGGGATTCAGCTTTTCACATCTATTTATTTAGTTTGACTGTTTTTAGCCTTTCAAATGCAACTGTCTTTTGAGTGCCCAAATGCCATGGGGGATAGTTTGGCTTTGTGAAAAGATGGGTGAAAATGGAAATAAAGCAGCTTCCCTAAGGGCTTATTCATAAGATACACTGCTGCTTGTGGCTTGTTTCCCACGGAGGACAAAATTTATCCTAGTGTTTGACATATGTGAAGATACCACCCTGTCTCTTTGACAGCATCAAAGATCTCAAAGATCTCAGGTTGCATTCAGAGACTATCAACTGCTTCGGACTAAGCACAGTTAACATCACTGGGACCAAACTGGATATTGTATTACTGTCCTTTTTATCATCCTTTTTAGTCTGGCGAGTATGCACAATAGTTCACTTGAAAAAGAAAACACTGAAATAAAAACTGCACATGTTTCCTACTGTAGTGGTATACCTGATAAGAAAATTCAAGTACTTCTTTCTAAAAGATATTTTAGAAAGGGTCAAAGTTACAGTAGGAAAAGGAATATTCAGACTGGGCTTTTCAAAAACACTTGCCTGGTGCCCAGTTTTACGACATTTCAGAAGGAACAGAGCTAAGGCATAACCACAGTCCAGAGCAATTTCACACATGTAAGCATGGGTAGATTTTCTGGTGAACATTCAAGGGTGTTGCAGACCCTCTCCTGTATCCTTGCTAGATTACAGGCTAAATTGTGTCCAATTCTCTGCTCTGCTCCCTAATATATATTAAGGTGCAATCATCTCTGTGTAAATTCCTCTGTGGATCTGGGCCTGAGTGTTTTTGAAAATCCCACCCACATGGGACACCCGTAGGTCAAATGAAAAATTGCATAAGCTATTAACTAAAGCTATAGCTTATAAAAAGTTACCCACAAGAAAGGTACACAGGTTAGTGCTGCTCCAGGGCATCCTTAAGTCACACTTCAGCAAGTTATAAAGTTATCTTTGGAGAGCAATCATACCAAGTTGTCAGCCCTGTAAGGATAGATTTATGTGTCTCTGACATGTCAGTTGTCGTCTTTGCCACTTCATTGCAGCTATGATATTTCAGCAGGAGGTAACCACTGCTATTCCCCTGCCTGAAAATCCACAGAACTTTCCTCTGTAAACATTTATTACCCTCGGTATTTCCCCATCACAAGACTGTATCTCTGAATTCATCTACGTGTTTGCTTAACTCTCACTCACAGGTCAGTGCTTGTTTGTCTCAAATTTTTCTCTTTTTAATCTGAATTTATGTAGCAGAAGGTTCACGGGCAAACCTTTTCCCTGCAAAAGGCTTTGTAGTTTGCTGGGGCTTTTTAAGCCAAGTAATTTAAAAGGAGACAATTTTTTTTGGTTTTTTTTTTTTGTTTTGTTTGTTTGTTTGTTTGTGTTTTTTTTTTTTTTTTTTTTTCTGAGGAAATAATACAGGTCATCATCCTGCACTGGAAGAGTTACTGTCTTCGTTGTGGAGGGGCCTGATCTAGTGGTTTTGTTAGTAATCTGTACTGTC